TAAATGACAAAGGAGAAATTAGAAAAAAGTTTCAAGTCATGTCTGTTTGTCAAAAATATATCCCTAAGCCAGATAGTAACCAAGAAATGCCCACCATTGGTTATCAGGTGAGAGTCGTCAGATGGCTGTAAAATCAGACTAGCAAATTTTCTTGCTATAATAGTCTATTTGAATGAAATCACATAGAGAACAATAGTGCTCTCCACTGGGATTTACCACAACGTGTTTAAAGGTATTAATTAAAGTGGTAACAAAAACTGGTAGAGAGGAGCAAAAAAGTTAAGAAGGGGAAGCAACATGCAAAATGTCTGATGCATAACGAACGGCCATTTGAAATTTAATTAAATAATAATTGAAACTGGTGGAGACTGTTACACTACACCCTGCAGGGGCCTTGCATTTTAACCTATCAAAGCATTTTGGAAGATTAATGAATTCTTATACAATTACTCTAGGTACGCAAATATTATTGCTGTTACTTAAAGGAGTTTAAAAATTGAAAATTATGTCAGATTATGGCATTAAAAGGATTTTCTAAAAACACTATTTACATTGAACAAAATGTTGAAGACAACCCTTTCACTCACGCTTATGTATATATTTTTAAGCAGCAGGAGGACTGTAGAGCAGACACTGCACTCCTGGTGGCGAGAAATTAAACAGGCTTTTAATAATCCAGTAGAATGTTATTTCAAAGTCTTGTATTTATCATTGAATTTCACCAATACGAGTTATTAATGTCATGATATTATGCAAAATAAAAGTCACTCTTCAAATCCGTGCAAGTGTTTTCAATGCAAGATCACTTTGTTTTAATATTAGTTGTAAGTCATAAATCAAAATACGGGGATGAGGAGGTCAAATGTCATTTTTTAAATTATTATTTTAGCAGACATAAAAAACATTCCCATGCTGTGTCGTATGTATGAATATTTTTTCTTTTTAGTGGTTCTCTTTTCAGCCTCCCTACTGTTTCTTTCACAATACTGATCAAATCACTTAGCCCTTCAAGTGTAACCTCACACAGTCTCATTCTGCATAAGTACCCAGCAGGAAGCATATTACTTAAATTGACCCCAGTTAGACTGAAGAGAAATACTTCTTTTCTCTTGGCTGGGGGTGAGGTTTTCTTGTTCTGGCAAGAAACTTTTTTTTTTTTTTTTAAGTGCACTGTATCCACTATTACTGGCAGGTATTTTGAGATTATGGGGTAGTCAGTCTGTGGACAGAACCAAAACATTGCAGAAGGCAGTTGTCAAGAGAATCTTAATGCTATGAAACTGGAGTTTTTATGCTGCTTTACTTGGGGTATGGTCCCCTCTAGACATTTAGTTGTGTGATGGAGTATGTTCCCTTCTTGTTTAAAATAATTTATATATTGTTCTTTTTTGCTTTCTTTTGTTACTTGTAGCCTGAAGCATATTAACTAATGGAATATTTGTTAAATCTAGGCAAACAAAATGTATTTTAAAAATGATACCATTACCTGTATAATACCTTGTTTGAAAGAAATGTAAGACTTTCTGTGTATGTTTATTCTCAATAACATTGTGAAGAGACTGGGATGTACAAGTACCTCTTGCAATTAGCTGCTTTCATCTATCTCCCAAAGGCGTCTTTGCCACTCTGGTTAAATATTAAGCAAAGTGTTTAGTGTTTTAAGCCAAATAATTTTCTTTGGTCAAATGAATATTTATGGACTGCTAAAGGGTATGAATCCAGAACTTTACTTCTGCCTTATTTATATGTTGTTTCTTCTGTCTCTGCTTCTGTTTAATTTTTGTGTCTTAGACATGGCTCATCAGGATGGTACCATATATTTCTTGGGGAGTGGAGGTGCGAAAGTTATTACTATTTCCTCCCATTTCCACAGAGCAGGAGGTTCTGATCTCTTTCTCATGAGTGAATAGTGTTGGAGGCTATACATCCTGCTTCCCTCTGTACCCTGTTGTCCTGTGACCCCCTAAAGAAGGAGGGTTTAATCTAATGTTTTGGAAGACCCAGTGAACATCACATCACAATCTCTCCTTGTCAAGAGAAAAAAAAAAAAGATCTTTGTGTTTGTTTCCTAGAAAATAGTCAGCACACAAGAGCTAAAGCCATATATCCCTTCCAGAATCTCTTAACACCTTTATTGAAAATGGTGCTTTCTTGCTTTGTTTCTAATGGGTACTAGAGCAGAACCACCTCGTGGGCATATGCCTTGGATGCCTTTAGTACCTAAAGGGACAGTGAATAGAAAGGTCAGATTACCTTCCATCCTTTCCCTTTACATCAAGGCTAGAACAGATGTGAAGTTGGTCCTACGGAGGCTGGCTGGGAGCTCTGAGCCAGTAGCGCTCTGTGTTTATGTACACACCACCCACAGCGGGACTCAGCTCGTGTCCAAGACTGTCAGATGTTCAAAGGAAGCTTGCCTTCCACAGAGGTCTGGAAGCAGGCAGCAACTGAATGGGAATAAATTGACACTTCAAGAAACCCTTCGGCTCATCTTTGGTGTCTTGACTCTTTCATTTTATTGCATTAAAAGAGATTTTGGTAAGTCTTAGCCAAGCAAGGAAAGGCAGCTCCAGTACTGGCTGGTTCTCAAGTAAGGAACGGTCACAGTTTGACACTCGCCAGGCTGTGTTTTCCTAGTGGGTAGAGTTACTAGGCCACAACAGCAGGACCAGTCAGACTGTTGATTTATTTCATTTTTCCCACATGGGTATTACAGGCGCTCCTTTGCTTCCCGTCCCCATGTGGTACGCACCCACGGGCAGGGCCCACAGCTTGCTTTGGAAAGGCCTTCGCTATCCTTTCTCCCTTTGCCTCCAACTAAACTTAAAATATTTCCAGCAACTATAGAAGTGTGTTAAAAAACAAACAAACAAACTTTAGATTCTGTGACAGAGTATGAAGAATATGTTGTTGGGAAACATGGTAAATTTATTTTCTCTACTAACTGAATACCCACAATATCAAACTGCCTTTTGTGGGGATGGTGTGGCAGAAGTACAGCTTACTGGTTCTGACCACCCTCTTTGGGTGACTGAATATATTCAGTATTCTGCTTTAGTCTATTATTTTAGTTCATCAGATCATTTACATCATTTCATCTATCCTCCTCTTATTTTAGATTTATTTTGCTCTCATTCTTCTAGGATCTTCAAGAGGGAGTTTAGGTTATAGATTTGAGACATTTCCCTTTTTACAATGTTTGCATTTAGCTATAAACTTCCCTCTCAGCACTAACGTAGCTATGTCCCATATATTTTGACCTTTTATATTTTCACTTTCTTTCAGTTCAGTGTGTGCGTGTGTGTGTGTGTGTGTGTTTTAAATTTCCCTCAAGACTTCCCCTTTGATGATGGGTTATTACAAGTATGTTGTTTAGTTTCCAAGTATTTGGACATTTTTTTGTTACCTTTATGTTTTGACTTCTATTTTGAATCCATTGTGGTAGAAGAGCATATCCTGAATGGCCTGAGGTTTGTTGATGGCTCAGGGTATGACCTATATATTCCATGGGCATTTAAAAAGAATGTGTACTGTTGTTCAGTGAAATGTTTTACAAATTTGATTAGATCCTACTGATTATTGATGTTGTTGCTTAGCTCCTTCATATCTTTGTTGATTTTCTTTCCAGTTGTTCTGCCAACTGTTGAGAGAGGGAAATGGATATTTTGACTATGACTGTGAATTCATTTATTTGTCCTTTGAGTTTTATGAATTTTTCTTCATGTAAATTTAACTTGGTTGCCGGGGCATACACATATAGAATTGCTAGATGTTTTTGGTAATTGACCATTTTATCATTATAAAATACCTCCTTCTATCTCTGGTGATTTTCTTTGCTCTGAATTCTCCTTTATCTGATATTAATATGCCCTTTCTTGCTTTCTTTTGATTAATGTTGGCATGATATATTTTTTCTATCATTTTACTTTCATTATACCTATATCATTATATTTGAAGTGAGTTTCTTTTAGACAGCCTATGGTTAGGTCATTTTTATCCATTCAACCAATATTTATTTTTTAATTGATATATTTAGAATATTTATATTAATCAAATCATTGATATAGTTAGGCTTAAGACTGCTATTTTATTTGTTTTACTCTCTTATTTTTGTTTTGCTTTTAATTTGTTTTGTGGTTATTGAATATTCTTTAACATTTCATATCGCTTTATTTAGGGTGTTTTTAGTGTACCCTTTGTAAAGCTTTTTAGTGGTTTCCTAGGCGGTGTAATAGATTTGAGTAACTTATTTTGGTGGCTTTCTAGGTATTACATTAGATTTGAATAACTTATTAGTTTACTGTTTAGTCATTTTACCATTTTGAGTGAAGTATGGAAACCTTACCTTCCTATATGCCCCTTAACCAACTCTTTTTAACAGTATAATTGTTTTAAATAGTCTACGTAGCTACATACATTTAGAACCATATTGACTAGTGTTATAATTTTTGCTTTTTTATTATATATAAACATGTTAATTTTATAGAATGGACAATAGGTAATGAGTCTTACATGCAAAATTTATTAAAAGTTACTTTTTGGTATCTGATTAGATTACTGGTCATATCACTCTCCTGCTGCAATTATTAGGATCCTTGCAATTGTAAGGGACAGAAACCCTTCCCAAGCTTGCACTTAAAACAATGAAATACACTGGTTTACATAACTAAAAATACTACGGCACAACTATCTTCATGTATTTTTCAATTTTTTTCTCATGTATCTGGTTCTTTCTCCATCTTCATTTTCCTCACTTTAGGCAGATTTTCTTCATTCTCATGTACTCAAAACAGCCACAGGCATCTTTAGGTTTGCATCCTACCAGTTAAGCTACCACAGTGGAAAATAATTTCTCATTTTCAGTAGTTTCTGTTAACTTCTCAAATTTAGCTCTTAAATGTTCTTTTGGTCACATGTCCATGTTTAAAACAATGACTATAACCAGCAACTTGAGATCCATTCATTGGACATGACTGTATCATGTGTCCTCTTCTCTAGCCATGACGGTGAGTTCAGTTAAACCTAAACCAACTGGACTGAGAGGGAGAATGGGTTTTTCCCCAGGAAAATCGGGGTGCTGTTATTGTAAGTATGTTAGGTGGGTGCTAAGCAGGCAAAAACAAAATCTACTGCTTTTTCAAAAAAAAAAATAAGATTAACATCTTAACAGAACAGTGTTCTATTTCTTACAGGAAAAAAAAAATCAAAGCTCAACATATACTCCATGTCAATTATTCCTCCTGGGATTAATTTCACGTTTCCACTCTAATCCCAAATGAGCCAAGGTCTTTTAAGTCTATTCTTCCCATCTGACATAGTCTCTCTTCACCAACACACACCCAACTGTAACTTTCCATCTGTAGAAATTCATAATAATATTTAAAGATGCAGATATATTTATTAAAAATTTTTTATTGTTGACACTATTACAGCTGTCGCCCATTTTCCCCGCCTTTGCCCCGTCCACTCAGCCCCTGCCGCTACTCCCCACTCTGCCTTCACCACCCTGTTGTCTGTGTCCACGGGCTCTGTATATATGCATATATGTTCTTTGGCTAATGTTTTCCAGTTCCTCCCCCCCATCTCCCCTCTGAGATGTCAGTCAGTTCCATTTATTCATGCCTCTGGTTTTAATTTTTTCATCAGTTTATTTTGTTCATTAGATCCCAAACATGAGTGAGATCATATGGTATTTCTTTTTCTCTGACTGGCTTATTTTGCTTAGCATAATATTCTCCAGGTCCACCCATGCTGTCGCACAGGGTAAGAGTTCCTTCTTTTTTACAGCCACATAGCATTCTATCATGTAAATGTATCACATCCTTTTTATCCACTCATCTACTGATGATTCAGATTTAAATGTAATGTCTCTGTGAAACATTTCCAAACTCCCATTAAATAATCATCACATGGTTCTCACACTTACACAATACTACATATATAAATCTATTACAGCATATAATATCTTGTATTTTGATAGTTTCTATGTAATGTTTATCTTTCTTGGAGTGTGAATTACTTGGGAGTACAGACTGCTGCAACAGTTAATATATCTCTAGTGGCTAGGGCAGTAACTGACTCAGTTTATGTTGGATGAGTTAATTATTAAATAAGTCAAATGAACTAATGTCTTAAATTTAGCAGCCAAATCTTGTCTTTACATAAACAACTTTAATAAAGGATTTCCAAGCAAGTGTTAAGTGACACTTGGTAATATTAAAGAGTCTAGAAACTCTCAGAGGTCTCTTTCAGATAGGATTGCAAATAAGCATCATTTTTACCAATCCATCCTGGCTGCACTAACATATATGGAATAAAATCAGCAAAGTCAGCACTTACTATGTTAGGCAAAATAACTATTATGGATCTTGTTTAAAAAGTGCCTGTGCTGTTCTGGCTAGTTCTGGTTAAATAATATTTATAATACTTATGAGAAAGAAAAACAAAAATGAAACTGATGTATTTATGGAGAATTCCTTAATGGATTCTCTGGGTGAGAGAAAACCTGCCCGATCTGTAATTAATGCATTTGTTTTCTAAGCTTTTTAAACAGAAGCTTGAAGAATTGTATAATACAAGATGACGCCATTGTAACGGGCAAAGGACCCAATTAAACGGATTCCACTATGGCCCTGGCGAATTGTTAGAAATTGTGGGCTTTCTTAGTGAGTGTCTATGATTTATGAAATTATAAGGAGAAAAGACAGAGATCCCTGGGCACCTTAAAATGAGAATTGTTGCATTTAAGTAGGATGATTTTGGCAGGACATTTTGAAGAAGACAGTCATATGCAATGTTAACTAGCTGTGTTTGGGCTCTGTAATTTAGCATACAAATAGCTAGAACATATCAGAGCCCAAAAAAGTCTCCTGAAAGCCTGACAAGAGGCTCACACGGGTTAGAGGAGTGAAGGACTGTGCTTGGTACTCGACAAACCCTTGTCAATATTTGCTGATTTGAAATGAAATGAAGCATAACCTGAATGCTGTCCCAATTTGGTAACAATGGGGTGGATCATGGTTGCCTAGGCAACGATGACTAGACGCTTGGTATAAAGGCAGGTCCCTCACCAGAAGCTGCAGAATTGCAGCTGCGGCGAGAGAGGCGAGAGAAGCATAAGTAGAGGCGGATCCGACCGAGTCATATCCTGACACGGAAGCAAAAAGTACTAGTTTGTGTACCAACACCATTTTGTAAAAACCAGATAATTTTCCACTTGTTCATCAAGATGGAAAACTCAGATTCTGGAGGTGAAGGAGATGAATCTGAGGCCCAGAGCAGAAGTCAGATGGACCAAATGGTTCAGGAAGATTTCTACCGGCTTGTGAATAACCTGAGTGAAGATGATCACAAGCATAGGAGGGGTAACAACTGGCTAGGCAACCGAGGGGAAAGTACAGAAGAGTTGTGTACAAGACGGATACTCATTAAAGAAAACCTACTGGAAAACTCAGATGAAAGTACAGGTATACGTATACTTTGCTTGTGCGGGGAATATGATAGGATGGATGAGGCACTTCATAACAGAAAAAGTCAGCGAAAGATTATAGAGTGACAGGTATCAATTTGGTGCTAAGTCACTTCTCATGTAAAAAAAACCTGGCAGTTACTTGTTTTTGGTAAGAATATCAAGGTACATTTTTTTTTTCCTGACTCATATTTGAGAAACAGTGTGAAATAATCTATTGACATTTTCCTTAGTTTTGCACCTCAACTGAAAGTTCCTCCTACTTCCTAAATGATGTTCCCTATATAGGCACATGATTTCCTCACCAGCAAAAGTACATATTTCATATTCTCATCACATAGTTCTCAATGGAGGGCATTTGGCAATGTCTACGTATATTTTTGGTTGTCCCAAGTAGGGGGCGGGCCCTGCTGGCATCCAGTGGGCAGAGGCTAGGAGTGCCGCCAAGCATCCCACAATGCCCAGGATAGCGCCCCAAAACAAAGAACTGTGCGGTGTGGAAATGTCAATAATGTTTTAAGGCTGAGAGACCCCACTCCAATGGCAGATCAGGGGCCTCTCTCCCAGTATGAGGTAGAGACTTTTACTGTGTCATAAAGAAGACAGTAAAATAGTTTGGTTCTTCAAAATGGTCTTACACGTACTATGCTAGGCTCAGTCTATTCAACTGATCTCTCAATTTCATACCAATTCAGAGTCTTGGAAACATTAAGAAGTGTTCAAATACTTTCAAACCTATATACTTTCTTTGTATTTGCCTAATGGCTATAATAGTTCTATATTTTAAAACAACTTTATATATTATCAAAAGCACTAGAAGTCAAAAGCTTAGAAATAACATTATAGTCTAATGAGAATTACACAATAATGTAAATGGAAGCAAAATAACAAGCACTGAACCTTATCTGGTGTTTGCCTTGTTTAATTGCATTTGTAAATTTTGACAGAGGAGTGAAAATATGTTGTCTCTCAACATTTCTCCCACAGTGGTACACAAGGTTGTGTATATGATGGAATATTGGAAATAAACATCCTCCAGATTCCTTTAAAAAAAAACAATTCTTTAAATTTATCTGGGATTGTCTTTCTCTTTTCAGACGGAATGGAAACATTCTTGCTTTTACCTATCAATTTACAGCATGGTTTACAAAATATGAACTCTATAAATGTGAAATCTGTTTAAGAAATTGGAGTGTTTGTTACCATTTTTGTTTGTTTTTGAAAAAAGTTTCAGAGTACTAATTTATGATGGATATGATCTTGCTAGTTCCTTTCTGAGTTTCTCCCTTTTTTGTTAACAGATGAAGGAGACCCTTCGGATGATGGGTCTCGCAGTGACTCTTTACTAGACTGGCTTATGTCATTTGAACCAAATGACAATGTGGGAAATGGGCAAAGAGAACAACCACCTAGGAGAGAAGTAAGCCAGGTTAATCCACCCAGGGATTTCAGATCCCATTCAGCAGTAAATTTTAACAATGGGAGCCCACATGTAAGGGAAGAGTACACACCATCTACCAGACTTCCCAGAGGAGGAGAAGTGAAAAGCAGCCCAAGTCAAGTGAAAAATCCACAACCTCAGCCAACATTTACAAGACCACCTAGATCAGAACAAAGTAGACCTGGAGCATTAATGGAAGGCCCTCCTACCAGAGGTCAGAAAAGAGAAAGAAGCAGAAGCCCAGACCACAGCAGAGCCAGAGCAAGATTTGAAAGTGTGCCACTTCCACGTTCACTCGGTCTCCTTTCACAGAGACCACATTACAGTCCATCATCTGTGAAGAGCGGCTCTGCAACAGACCAGCCTGACTCTTTGGGGCAAACCAAAACAGTGACAAGAGGGCAAAGAGAACAACCACCTAGGAGAGAAGTAAGCCAGGTTAATCCACCCAGGGATTTCAGATCCCGTTCAGCAGTAAATTTTAACAATGGGAGCCCACATGTAAGGGAAGAGTACACACCATCTACCAGACTTCCCAGAGGAGGAGAAGTGAAAAGCAGCCCAAGTCAAGTGAAAAATCCACAACCTCAGCCAACATTTACAAGACCACCTAGATCAGAACAAAGTAGACCTGGAGCATTAATGGAAGGCCCTCCTACCAGAGGTCAGAAAAGAGAAAGAAGCAGAAGCCCAGACCGCAGCAGGGCCAGAGCAAGATTTGAAAGTGTGCCACTTCCACGTTCACTCGGTCTCCTTTCACAGAGACCACATTACAGTCCATCATCTGTGAAGAGCGGCTCTGCAACAGACCAGCCTGACTCTTTGGGGCAAACCAAAACAGTGACAAGAGAGCAAAGAGAACAACCACCTAGGAGAGAAGGGAGCCAGGTATGTCCACCCAGTGATTTCAGATCCAGTTCAAAAATAAATTTTAACCTTAACAACGGGAGCCCACATGCAAGGGAAGAGTACACACCATCTACCAGACTTCCCAGAGGAGGAAATGTGAAAAGCAGCCCAAGTCAAGGGGAAAATCCACAACCTCAGCCACGATTTACAAGACCACCTAGATCAGAACAAAGTAGACCTGGAGCATTAATGGAAGGCCCCCCTACCAGAGGTCAGAAAAGAGAAAGAAGCAGAAGCCCAGACCACAGCAGAGCCAGAGCAAGATTTGAAAGTGTGCCACTTCCACGTTCACTCGGTCTCCTTTCACAGAGACCACATTACAGTCCATCATCTGTGAAGAGCGGCTCTGCAACAGACCAGCTTGACTCTTTCAAACAAACTAAAAATACAGCAAGTGGGCAAAGAGAACATCAGCCTTGGAGAGAAGGGAGCCAGGTCAATCCACACAGTGATTTTGGATTCAGTTCAGAAATCAATGTTAACTTTAACAATGGGGGTCCAAATGCAAGAGAAGAATACACACCATCTACCAGACTTCCCAGAGGAGGAAATATGGAAAACATCCAAAGGCAAGTAGAATGTCCACAGCTTGAGCCAAGATTTACAAGACCACCTAGATCGGAACAAAGTAGAGCTAGAGCATTCATGGAAAGCCCCCCTACCAGAGGTCAGAAAAGAGAAAGAAGCAGAAGCCCAGACCGCAGCAGGGCCAGAGCAAGATTTGAAAGTGTGCCACTTCCACGTTCACTCAGTCTCCTTTCACAGAGACCACATCACAGTCCATCATCTGGGAAGAGTAGTTCTATAACTAAAAATACAAGTGGGCTAAGAGAACACCAGTGTGGGAGAGACATGAGCCAGTTCAATCCACATAGTAATCTCAGATTCAGTTCAGAAATCGATGTTAACTTTAACAATGGAGGTCCAAATGTAAGGGAAGAGTATACACCATCTACGAGACTTCCCAGAGGAGATAGTGTGAAATACAGCCAAAGGCAAGTCGAACGTCCACAACCTGAGCCAAGATTTATAAGACCACCCAGATCAGAACAAAGTAGACCTAGAGCATTAATAGAAGTCCAACCTACCAGAGGTCAGCAAACAGCAAGAAGCCGAAGCGAAGACCAGGGCATAACCAGGGCAGGTATTGAAAGGTCACCTGCACAGTCACTGGGTGAACTTTTACAAAGGCTCCATCACAGTGTATCATCTCCAACTTTGGAGCAGCCTTCAGTATGTGAGACTGAGAGATTTTCTAGAACTCAGCACCATGAAATTTTGAGACAGCAAATAACTGGACCTGAATTGCAAAAAAGGGTTCTTTTTGCAAATTCTGAAACAAGGAATGCCATACAAGGAAAATCTTCTCCAAACACAACCAGTGATGGTGAATCTTGTCAACTGAGAAAGAGGAATCCAACTATATCCATCTACTCTGAAACAGGACGAGTTCATCCTGTGGCATATTGTGAGAGAGAAAGCGTAACCAGTAGAACTCAGATAACATCTGATACACCAAATCATATTGTCACTTTAGAAAGTGAACAAGGGGAACTTAGGCATATGTTTTCACATTATGAACAGGGAGATATGAGAGCTTATGTCAGTACCATCGGAATTCCCATTTGTAGGACTTTAAATACTGGTTTAAATGATACAACATCCAGTGCAATTCCAAGCACATTAAGCCCGGCAATGACATATTTCAGTGACTCAAGTAACCTTGTGGACAGTGACAGTGATTCAGAGCCTAGTTTCTCACCCCCAAGTCAAAATATGGAAAGGGAAGAGTCACCCAGTGGAAGCGACAGTTCTCACGGTAGTAGGGGTTCGGGTTTCAGCTCAACTTGTAGCTGTGATTACTGCTCACATTACACATTGACTTCTAGTTCAGACTTCAGTTACATGTCTACTTCCAGTTCTAGTATGATGTCCAGTTCCAGCTCCAGTGATGAAAGTTCAGACACTGCCATATTGTTGTTTGATAGCAGTGATGAAAGTGACTTTTGGCCTTCCCCTGATGACCATCCTCCAGGACTCAGCGAAGCACAGATTGACAACTTGGCTGTAAGATCCTCTGTTAAAAATGATACATTGAACGAGTGTAGCATCTGCATTACAGAGTACAAAGAAGGCAGCCATCTTCGCACCCTACCTTGCTCCCATGAATTTCATGTTTGCTGTATTGATCGTTGGCTTTCTGACAACTCTACCTGTCCTATTTGTCGCCGGAATGTAGCAGATTCTGGTGAGAGAGAAAATACTAATTGAAATATGAATTCTCAGCCACATAAACCGTTATAGTGATGGACAAACAACATCTACCTATTTTATATCCACTTTTCAAGTGATGCTTAAATATAACAATCCAAATCTCGTTATGAATCTAAATGTGACAATATGAACTGAATAATTAGTTCTTGAAGGAATTAATGTACTTTCCCAATTTCTGTTTGAGAATAAAAATATTAAAAAGTCAAACAATATTGTCCTGACAGTAAAAACAAATTTCATACTATAGCAAATCACTGACTTCCAAGAAAAACTTAGCAGGTACACTGGGTTGGGATGATCCTTATTCCATAAGAAAAGTGTCTTAATATGATATAAGATACCTACATAGCATAATCTAGTCTTATCTAGTCATGCAAATCCTAGATATCTATCTCATAGCCATGTCCTATCTTGGATGTGCATGCAAATAATTAGCCACAATAATTAAGCAGTTTAAGAAGTTATTAGAGTTACTGACATGAAGAAGTCATGTTACATTCCCAGAGTGGTATAAAAAGCATTGAAAACTTTCTTCTCTCTCTCTCTCTCTCTCTCCAGCAGATTATCATTCCCTAATACTACCTTGAAGTTTCTCCCCTTCCCCACTGCCAATGTATCAGTCAGAGTCCAGGTCGAAAATTAATGACATACTTGAAAAAGGTGATGGTATTGCATTTAATGAAGAGACTACTTACTAAAATGTGTAAGGAATGGAGGGAAAGCAAGAGATGATGGAGTACCGTGAGGTTAGCAACTATGAGAAGCTGGTGTTATCACCACTAGGCTTCAAGGAGCATAGACTGCAACCCAGCATGTTCTGTAACTGAAATATAAGGTCACCCAGCAAGAGCTGTGACCTTAAGTAGACAAATGGCAGTGACTGCCAGCCTCAGGTTTTAGGGCGTTCCTGGAGGTAAATGCCCTTACCTTGTTTTCCTCCTGACTCCTAATCTACCATTGGCAGTTCACATTAGCCAAACCCAACCTGAAGACACAGAGCAAGGGAGACTGGTTGAAAAAGCCTTTAAAGGTCAGCCTCCTGGAAATATAGATCCGGGTACAGAGGATGGTGAGAGTATCTGAAGAGCAAATCAGAGTCCATCTACCAAACCAGCCTTCCCAACTCTCTTCAAACCCAGCCTGTCTATGCTTTCTTGCTTCTTGCTCTCCATTCTCTGTTCTATGACTCAACTCTTTAACAATCCTCTTACATACTCAGATGTTGTAAAAGGAGAGAACAAGTACATTTCATTTTTACAAGTGATGACATGACAAACAGACCTTAATTCCTTCTCTTAAACATGTTGTACTTCGGTTAGCTGTGATCGTAAACAACTAAAGAAAAAGGGCAGTATAGGTATTTACTTTTTGTTTCATGAGTATATTCCAGTTTTAATATACTTTTATATATAAATTTAGTTCATATAATTATCTTTTAATAGATTCTTATTCCTTTTAAAGGGTTTTATGGTTTATATATGCCTCTTCATCTTTGTGTGAACAATCCAAAGCACCTAGTTGCTGCTTTGGAGCCTCCCAAGTTGCAATCTGAAAGCCTTAAAAGTAAAACCTGAGTTAAAATATGTCTACCTAATTTGGTTCTAATTGTCCCCAGTAAAAATAAAAATATCACCCTAAATCATGACTATTTAAAATCAAATTTCAGATGGTGCTCCCTTTCCAATCCAAACATAGTGAAGGATTTTTCTCCTAATGCAGCCTAAATACTCAACTCCTTTCTTTGGGGAGGGGGGACATAGTGGCCATTCCAGCAAATTTTGCATAAATTTTTCAATCCTGGTTTAGTGAGTATATAGTAAAACCTAAATTAATAATAAGTCAAAAATTGTGTGCAATATGCAACCTATATAAATATGGACAGTGTTAAGTATAAACCTACTCTAAAAATTTAAAGTCAGAATCATCACTAACCTTTATTTCCTGTATGATCTGCTGACAGCCACAGTAATTGCACAGAACTATACAATGTCAATGAGGACTGTTGGTGAAGTCTGTTAATGCAACTCTGAGCTAGCATATTTTTCACATAGTAGTAGCTTGCATAGCCAGAAATGTAGACGCAGATCAATCATCTAAAGTTTGGCATTACATTATGAAAGTTGTGTCAATATTCTGGTTTTTATTAAATATTTCTGATAACAAATCTACTTCATTTAAAGCAAGTAGAATAATTATAACAGTAGTTGGAGTTCATACTATCCTAATGTTTGCTTTAACCCTCAAAAATAATTTAGGAAGCCAAAGAGAGGAAGGAGCATGTATTGCAATTACTCAAATTTTTGTTTACTGTGTTGTTCTTCCTTAATGATGTTCCAAGGTTCTTGCTTTTATTGTTTTTTCTTTATTTCCTTTCTTTTTAGAGAACTTTTTGTCATTCTTTTGGGATAGGACTGCTAGACAATTCTCTTGGTTTTTCTTTATCTAAAAATGTTTTAATTCCTTTTTAATTCTTTAACTATATTTTGGCTGAATATAGGGCTCTGGGTTGGGAGCTCTTCTATTTTAGCAGTTGACAAATATTATGCAACTTCCTTCTTGTGTCTGTGGTTTCTGATGAGAAATCCATTTTAATTCTAATCATTTTCTCTTTTAAGTAAGACATTGGGTCTTGTTGCTTTCAAGATTTTTTTTTCCTTTGGCTTTTAGAAGTGTAACTATGAAATGTCTTGGTGTGAATTTCTTTGGATGTATCCAGAGTGGATTCACTCAAACTTCTTGAATCTGTATGTTTTTACTTTTCCCGTAGTATTTTGGAAGTTTTCAGTCATCATTTCTTTGAATACATTTTAACCTCTGCTCTCGTTCTCTTCTCTTTCTAAGGCTTCTATGACACGATTGTTTTATCTTCCTTATAGTTCCACAGTTCCCTAAGACTTTGCTCATTTTTTGTTCCAGTTTGTTTTTCTTATTGTGGCAAAAACATAAACGTTAACATTTAAGCCTCTTTAAAGTGTATAATTCAGCGCCATTAAGTGCGTTCACATTGTTGTGCAAACATTACCACTTTTCCATCATCCCAAACTGAAACTCTCTACCCATTAAACAATGACTCACTCTCCCTCCCTCTTCCCAGGCCCTGGTCACCACTATCTACTTTCTCTGTCAATTTGATTGTTCTAGGTACTTAATATAAATGGAACCCTACAATATTTGTTCTTTTGTGTCTGGTTTATTTCATTTAGCATGTTTTTAAGATTCATCCATATCATAGAATTTATCAGACTTCCATTTCTTTTTAAGGCTGAATAACATACCATTTTATGTAGTTATCATTTTGTTTATACATTCCTCTATTGAAGGACATTTGAGTAGTTTCCAGCTTTTGGCTATTTTGAGTAGTGTTGCTATAAACATTGGTGTACAAATGTCTGTTTGGGTCCTTGCTTTCAATACCAATGGGTATAAACCTAGACATAGAATTGATGGATCATTTGTAGTTCTATGTTTAGTTTTTTGAAGAACTGCTGTACTGTTTCCCACAGTGGTTGTACCATTTTATATTCTGTTCCTCTGTCCACAGCTGGTGTCATTTCTATGTTCCACTTTAGTCCACTGATGTTTTTTTCCTCTGTCCTCTCCATTCTGCTGTTAAGCCTATCCATTGAGTTTTTTTGTTTTTTTTTTTTAATTTCTGGTTATTGTATTTTTTTAAGTTCTAAAATTCCATTTGGTCCCTATTTATATCTTCTATATCTTGGCTGAGACTTTCAATTTCTTTGATGAAACCTTTTATTTCAAGTGTGTTCTAATTGGTAGTTGAAACATTGTATAATGGCTGCTTCAAAACCTTTTCAGAGAATAACTTCTCTGTCATATTGGCATCTATTGATTCCCTTTTTTCATTCGGTTTGAAATATTTCTGATTCCTGATGAGATAATGCTTTCTTTTCATTAAAACTAAAGCATAGGTTTTTGTGTATTTTGTTACGGAACTTTGAATCTTGAGACCTTCTGTTTTAGTTGGCTTCCTCTGGCGTAGCTCTAGCAGTAGAAGGAGGGAGTCCTTCCTTTTGCTGCTTCATGAGGGTACAGATAGAAGTTCCATGTTTAGCCTCTATTGACTCCCTCAGGAATGGGAATAGTTCTTTGTTACTGGTGGGGGATAGAAGTTCCAGTTTCCACTAGGCCTCCTGGATGAGAGGGGTAAAAGGGCCTTATTTAGGGCTCTTCAGGTTTCCTTCCTGGGGTGTGTAGCCTCCTTCCTGCTGTGGTAAAATCCTGACCCTCCACTAGGCCTTTTCGGACATCACCACATTAGGGGAGGGATCCACTAGGCCTTTTCGGACATCACCACATTAGGGGAGGGATCCACTAGGCCTTTTCGGACATCACCACATTAGGGGAGGGATCCACTAGGCCTTTTCGGACATCACCACATTAGGGGAGGGATCCACTAGGCCTTTTCGGACATCACCACATTAGGGGAGGGATCCACTAGGCCTTTTCGGACATCACCACATTAGGGGTGGCTGCCTCATTACCCTCTGATGAGGGTGAAAGTTCACACTCTCCCCCTATCTCCACTGACAGTGTGCAGCGAGCACTTCTGTTGGAACTTTTTCTTTGCTCTGTACCTGTTGGTGTTTCCAGGGCACTGGACTTCAGCTCTGAGCCTGGGACATATGTAGCAAATTGAAACACTGGGAAATCACCACTGTCTTGTTCCTTGGGTCCCAATGTCACTAGCCACTCCTCCTTCTGTTATCCACCCTGCAGAGCTTTCTTCTTGTTTTTTATTTTTATTTCTACAGATAATGTCGAGGGGTTTAGATGTACTTATTGGGAGGAGTAGGGAAAAATATTTTCATTCCTTCTCAGAAAAAGTCTGGATTTTTAATGCATTTTAAGATGGAGCCAATATGAGTTTCTAATGGATCAGGGGGTGGGGTAAGAGGGAAAGGGAGGAGTCAAAGATGGCCCAAGGGTTTTGGTCTTATGAGCTAGAAGAATAGAGCTGCCATCAAATGAGATGGGGA